AACTTTATAGCTCATGAAGACAGGTCCATAAAGCGATGTTAAGTCTTAAACTAGGTACTTCAGAGCCAGCTGGCTGCCTTGGCTTTGGCAACACTTCACATTGTGAAGGTTGTACCTGCTGAAGCGCTCCATGTAATAAACCATTTGCCTAAGCAAATTTAAACCTGCCGGTCTATTCCCCTGCAGCAGCCCACGTGTGCTGCAGAGCAGAGGCAAGGTCTGGGCTTAGGCAGCTCGGTGTCTGCAGCCCCCAAGCTGGGCAATTCACCTCTAGCTCAGATGCATTCCCACAGCGCAGAGGTTCCTGCATGCTGAGCTTTGCCAGGAGAATTTACTTTGCAAGCTGGAGGAGATCTTGTTTATTTTTTTCTCCCAAAGGGCAAATGAGTTGCCAAAGTAACCTGGACAAAGAGTAGTGTTTTAGATGGGGAATTACAGTTTCATATTTATTTTCTTGTTTATAGGACTTTTATATTCTTCCACAGCACAGAGCGAATGCGCAATACGTTGTGGTTATTTATCATAGCTGTAAGAAGGGGGCCTGGTGGTGACAGACATCTCAAGGACCCTTAACTGAAAGAGGTCAGAAGGGGTTTTTGGACAAGATTTGTCCCCTCTGCCATGCAGCCTGTGTTTAGCAGCAGCTCTGTTCCCTGTCTGGGCTCTTGTGTTCTGCCAGGAGGAACTGGGACAAGCACTGCTGAAATCACTAACATCGCTGTTCCGACTTGGCAGTAAAGAGCCCCCAGGACAGTTCCCGGATGCTGGCACTATGTGCCTGTGCTGTTAAATTCACGGCTTGCGCGGGAATCTAGCACAGGCCAGGGAACATTTCCAGCGGGGCGGGATGTGCGAGGTCCTCTTGTGCTGGCATCCTTTCCTCCAGGGCAGTCCTCCAGCTCGTCCTGTATCCATGCTTAATCCCCTCCCTTCCCCTCCTCGTCACAGGCTTTGCCAAGCAGCAGTGCCACGCCACGAAATCTCCTAGTGCTGGGGGCCACAGAAGCTTGAGAGAAGCTGTGGAAGAGGAGAAGGATGGAGGAGGACAGAGGTGAGTCTCCTGCAGAGGAGACTCACAGAGCTGAGGGAGCCCTGCCAGTGCCTGAGTCAACAAAAACCTTTGAATGGCACGAAAAGCTGGGGTGAAAGCCAGCATCCCGCCACAGCCCCAGGCAGCTGCCCTCTCAGGCTGCTCTGGAGGTTTGGCTTGGAGCCCTGTGCACCCAGGAACCCTGAGCCCAGGGGAGCCGCCTGGCCTGGAGGAAGGCAAAGCGAGCCTGGGCAGGGTGCTTTGCACACTGTGGCTTTTGGAGCCGGCTGGCCAGGCAGCACACACAGACAGGGGGTCTGCACCACATCTGGAGTCCTGGGGTGAGATAGAAGCCACCAGTTCTTCAGCTAGGACATGCTCAGGGTGAAGCAACAAGAAATGACCATGAAGAGCAGCTCTTGCAACCACCGCTTTCTGTACGGGGTTGTTCTTCCATAGAGAGCATGCATGTGTGCTGCAGAAGCCCGTTCAAGGCAGTATCATACCAATGGCTTTGTCTGTGCTAAACTATTACTGGGTGTTGGTCACAGACCAGTCAGATAACAAATGGAAACCCTACTGTGCCATAACTTACACAGAGGCAGCTTTGCCAAGGGAAGGTGACAGCAGAGGTTGAGGGGTCTTTGGCCCAATGCATAGAGCAGTTCCTGAGGTCTGTGGATAGGAGCGGATCCTCCTTGGAAAGATCTGGATGCAGGGGTGAGGTGAGAGGCATCTAGGCCACCTCATCACCTTTTCAGAGGGGGCATTGGGCTGGAGAGGAAAAGGGATCTTCTTCAAACCTGATCTTGCTCAGTCAGTTCTACCCTCCTGGGCAGGTCTGTCCTCTGGTTTCCTCTCAGGCAGCTCCACCACCACCATCCCTAGTACTAGATACCATATTTCTCCTCCTTTCCTCTCCCCAGCTTTCATGGGTCAATCAGTGTTTCTTTCTGCCCCTGCCTCCCCCCCCATTTCTCTGTTCCTCAGCATATTTTGTGTTAAAATTGGTGAGGGTTTTTCTTGGGGGCATTTCAAGGTTTATTTCTGATGGCATTTGAGATGGAATCTGCTGTGCTGTTGATTAGATAAGACTGGTGTGGGTATGGAGGTTGTGGTAGGGTGGAGGAGACCAGCCAGGAGCCTCAGCTGGAGAGCACTCTGTACGTGAGGTCACTGTTCCAGGGGAGGAGGCAGAAAGCAGCCTCTGAAATCAGTCTTCCCCGTGACATGCAGAGGAATAGAGTGATGTCACAGAAAAAATACACAACTAGAGAAACACTGGGATGGAGCAGATGCTCATGGTGGGTTTTCAGGTGAGAGATTGTGACTGCAGACAACACATCCTCCTGTAGAAGAGGTTACTGTGAAGAGTGGACTCGATATCCTTGGGGAACCTTCTCTAGTCATTCACCAAGGCTTCTGAGGCATAGTAGGCTTCATGGCTTACTGAGCCTCTCAGAGGACACTGATAAGAGGCATGAATTGTGTCCCTGCACATTTTCAGAGGCCACATGAAAATGTTGCCAGAATAGACTAGTCATGACAAGGAGTTTGGACTTGGCATCTGTAGACTTGAACAGCTGAAATGGTCACCCACAAGTAGACAAGAGTTAGGGTGACACCAGGATTGGCTCAGGAATGACACCCTCCCCTGCTCATTGTCCTCTGCATTAGACTCCAAACACAGGCAGCCTTGATGCTCTTTGAGAAGGGAGTATGCTAGTAGCAGTGGTGGGAATGGACCTTGATGCTCTTTGAGAAGGGAGTATGCCAGTAGCAGTGGTGGGAATGGACCTTGATGCAGACCAGTGGTATGTAGGCTTTACAGGTTTGGTGGCAGCTGTTGCAAGGACTTCTCATCATGACTCAGTGTGCTCTCAAACGTGCATCCTACTGGAAAGCACACTGCCAGTGCTGCTGGACGCCTGCCCCTGCCCGGCGCTGTGTGACTCAGAAGTGCCTGCATCACAGCACTGTGCAAGGAGGTTTGATTTATCACCCTAGTTCCTAGAGTCTTGCCTTGGCACAGCAGGAAATAACGGTTCCCAGGGAGAGAGCCTATGCTGTTGGAGTGTGTGATGAAGCTGTCCAGGTTGCAAGTTCTGAGGAACAGCATTAGTCATGAGGGCAAGGTCAGTCACGCCAGCTTCAGCGCATTAACTGCAGTCTCATTTAACAGAGGTGGCTGTGGCATGGGTGAGGGACACAGAGTCACCCAGTCCCACCAGCTCCAGCTGCAGGCACCAGGGTGGGGATCTCCAGCCTCACACTGCTCCCAGCAGGTCCAACACCACAGCTTCAGTGGGTTATTTGGGGCTGTCCTGGTGAGTCAGGGCAGTCCCTGGGAAGGGAGATCCCCTTCAGTGGGCCATGTTAGTGACCCTGCACAGACCTGCATCCAGTTTGTCCTTGTCTCCCTTGTACAGGGGGGCACAACAAACTGCACAGTGTGTATAGATGTGGCCTCACTTGAGGTTTAGACTAGATATTAGGAAGGATTTCTGTGCAGAAGGGGCTGTTGGGTGTTGGAATGGGCTGCCCATGGTAGGGGGGAGTCCCCATCCCTGGAGGGGTTGAAGAGTCGGGCTGAGCCAGCACTGAGGGATCTGGTGGAGCTGGGAACAGTCAGGGTGAGGTTCATGGTTGGACTGGAGGAGCTTCAAGGTCTTTTCCAACCTAGACAGTTCTGTGATTGTGTTATTCTGAGGGGAATAATACCTTCCCAACCTGCTGGGTGCTCTCACACCAGGCTGATTGGCCTTCATTGCTGTGGCTCCTGGCCAGCTTGGTGTGCACGAGTCTGTGGATGCCTTCCACCTGCAGAGACTTGCATGGAGAGCCGCCCCTTCCAGCCCGTATCAGCCTGCCCCTCACGTGGGGCTGGTCTGTGCTGGGGCAGGACTGCTGCTGAGGTCCTTCTGAAGGTACCACTCAACACCTGTCCTCCTGCCTGTGGGAAGTGCCATGGTGCTCCTTTCTTCATACAAGATGTTAGTGTTGGCTGACTTTTGCATAAAATGGAACACCTCAATTGTTCTTTTGCCTCTCAATATCAAATCTCCAAACAAGCCCAACAGTTTTACATACAAGCAGGAGCCAACTGTGATTTTTGTCTTTGCATGTCCTGCTCCAGCTCACGGAAGCGTTGGCCATCCATTCGGTAGTAGGAAGAGAGATGTGGTACCTAACCTAACCTATTTAGTCAAACTGTTGTATTTTCCTCTGTCATTAAATAAAACAGTATTTGAATGCACAGTGGGGCTAATGCTACTTTGTGCAGCTTTTTATGAAGATTATAAAATTGAGGCAAAAAGCAGATCTCACTGTAATTAGAAGATAGAAGAGTTAATCATAGGAATGGATTCCTGCTTGCTCTGAAATTTTCTAAACTGCTTTAAAATACCTTCAGCTGAAGGAGCTGAACTTCACTGTGAACCCTTTGTGTGCTGAAGTAGAGTTTTCTTCATCCATTTGTATTGCAACACAGAAGTTGCAGAGCTGTTTTCCTCAGAGATTCAAGAGTCCCTGTGTTCTTTTTGTTGATATGTGAAATCATTTGGGTTTTTGCAGAGTTGTACAATCATTTACTTGATGTGCTAGAGGCAACCCAAACCTCTTATTCCCATTTATTCACCCTTTGAGAAAAGATGTGGAAAAAAGTCACCAGTCATCAAAGTTTCAAGTCAGAGGCAACTAGCAGAGAACTGGGAGATAAACCACCGACAGATGGGGGAGGGTTGTGTGTGAAGGACATACTCTACATAATGCGCCATTAAAACTTCATGAAGAGGTGTCCCAGAAAAAAATATTACAAAGCACTAGGCTTAATATTAAATTTTTAGTTTTAGCAGTGTGGTCAGTTTCAGGAAGGAATAATCAACTTAGCCACAGCATTCGCATATTTAATGTTCTGAGAGAAGAGAGACTGTCTGATTTTTCTTTTTCTTTTTTTTTTTTTTTCCCCCAGTAATTAATGAAAGTCAAAGGCAGCAACTGGAATCTGCAAGCTACTCCTCTCGCTATGCTCTGGTACTTTTTTATGAAGCTGGTACACGGATTGATGTCCCCTGGGCTGCACAGTACATCACCGATAATCCCTGCATACGCTTCATCTCCATCGATAATAAGAAACGCAATATAGGTCAGTGCTCCCATTATTTCCCTTAAACACAGTGACAATAGAGGGTGTAGATCATGAAAAATGCTGTTTAATTGAGTGTTGCTATTCTGAACAGAGCAAGTATTTAACTCCAAGCCGCAGCGGATAGCATTTAATGTCACATTTGGCCTGTAATAAAATACACAATGAAAGCGGGAAGGTCTTCAGAAAATCACCACCCAGCACATGGTTTATGTTACTGCATTTATGAAACCAGTGTCAGGGGATTTGAAACATCAAAATGTTGCTATTCCAAGAAAGAGCTGGAGTTCCTTTGTTTAAACATTGATTCATACACATGCCAATTTATCTCCCATCATCCATTACTTTACAACTCCTGTTCTTTCCACTAAGCTTGCTTGGAAGTAGTAATGAGTTATATAATTGAGGCTGTTCAGTCTTGCTCAGAGTTAGCCAGTGTGCTTTTATAATCATGGAAAATCCTTGAAATGGCTGCACATAGTACAGCTGCTCGGTAAAGCTTAGAGAACATCCCACAAGGCAGACAATTCTCATATGTTTCTGGAAAATGGCAGTTGAGTAAGTATATGTTTTAATTATTAAATGTATTTCATATACCGAGAGTGTATTTGCATGGAATAGCTCAAGAAAAACCACTAGCATTTGAGTTTAATCAAGTTCATTATGAGCTAAATATCCTTCCTGGTTCTGTTACTTGCTCACATGTGACGATGACCAGGTTTAACTGCATCTATGAAGTGGGGGGAAAAACCTACAGACCACTGTAGTGATCTACTGTCACAGAGTAAGGAAGGATTTTCATAATCAGCTCCTGCCTAACATGTAATTATTAAGTATTACCAAAATCACTGTGCCAAAGTATGTTCAGATTTAGACCTGGGAGACGTCTGGTTCCAGTCTTCCTTGTTCAGTCGGGATTCATTGTTTTCCGTGGGCAGTCTGCAGACATCAGTGATGTTAGGGCCTTGCCCGTCACCCTTATATCTACATGTCATCACCATGCTAGAAAACAACCATAAGGTTGGTCGTGCCTTCCCTCTCTTGCACCATAAACATGCAGTTTCATGTAATAAGCTATCCTGCAGGAGTGTGACAGTGTAACAGTGGCACTGGTGGCCTGGACCTCTGAAGATCTCTGCTCCAGCTGCTGCTCACAGCAGGCAGTGCTAACCCAAGGTCAGGGCAGCCATACCTTTTCTAGCTGAGGTTTAAAAAAAAAACCCAACAGGGTGGAGATCCCCTACACGGCTGGTGACCTGTCCCAGCGGTGCATCTCCACTGGGGGAAGAAGTGTTTCTTCATCTGCAGTCTGAACTTCCCAAGGCTCAGCCTGTGGGTGTTGCCTCCTGTTCCATTTGTCCGCCTCTACCAACTGGTGTCATTCAGGTTGGAAGGGACCACTGGGGGCCTTTGGGTTCTGCTCCCACACAAGGTGTGAAGTTGCTAAGTTAGATCGTGTTGCTCAAGGCTCTGATGTGATGTGATTTGTCACCTTTGCACTGCTGGCTTATATTCAGTGGTTGATCCACCATAACCAGCAGGATCATTTCAGAAAGTTCTGTTGCTCAGCCAGACTGATGTATGGCATTGTCCTGTGTCAGGCACAGGACCTTGCACTCCTCCTTGTGTGGTAATAGTACAGTTCAAGTCAGCTCTTCCAAATGCGCCCTTCTCTGCACCAAAGCCAGCTGAGTAGCAATGGCTCTTGAAGTGCCTTCAGAAACAGCAGTTTATTCTGGAAGCAGAGAAGTTGGAGTGATGAACCAACTCACCACTGTAGTGAGCCCAATTTTGTTATTTCTCATCAGAATTTGGCCTGTTGGTCTGAAAAAGAGGGAAAATAAAACAAAAGAATGGCTGAACTGGCCAAAACGAAGATGCATCCACCCTGATATGCTTCCTCCAGCAGGGACTAATAGTGAATATTTTTTTAAAAATGAGTGTAAGGAAAGCCAAATAGAGTGATGTGTTTTTCCTCTGGCATTGTCTCCTTGTTACTGACAAAGTGCAGCTGGGGATTTTCTTGCATCTAAGATTTTATTACCACTGTTGTGTTTAATGATGAGTACTTGATAGTTAATAGCACCTACTGGTATTTTCCATCCCAGCTGCCTGATTCTAGCTGTGCAGAAGATGACACAGCCTAAGGGAGAAATTCACCCATCCTTTCCTCACCTGCTTGAATAGTTGGTGTTAAAGCACCAGCACTGAGAGCAACAAATACGGAATTATAATGGAATTATCAAATAGCTACATACAGTGTCCTTGCTGCATAGAAACATACAATTTGGGGCATTTTATTAACAAATACATAGAAATTACCAGAACATCAATGCTGACACGTACCTTTCTCACTGAAATTTCCCTCATGTTTTTGGGAGAGAATTGTATCTCTTCCTAGGGCTGGAACAAGCTGGGGGCCAGCGATTGAAGATGATTTCTGTCCATTAGGGCCCCCCTTGTGACCTATAAACAGTCAACCGGCCACCTGGACTGTGCTGTCTTTCCTGGTGAACTTGCATTTTGCAGATTTGCACTTTGTTCCAGGAAAAGTAGTACAAGGGAGAGGACAGTGTATGTTAGCTGGAGCAGTATTTCTGGCTGTGAGCACTCGAGCCGAGCACAGAAGGGTTGGAAAGCATGCCTGTGTCATGTTCAATAAAGCTGACTTACAGAAGTATAAAAATCAAAAGTGGTCACCAAGTGATTCACTTTTCTTCAAATACATGCACAGCTCTGCTGCTAATACATACTTTAAGACAACGTGGGCAAGGGGGGGCTGAATGTAACATTTATTTACACATATGGAATACTGCAGCCAAAACGCTTGAATATAAAGTTCCTTTATGTTTTTTTTAGCACATATGCAAGTATTTTGCATGTATTATCTTTCTTTCTGTGTTTCTGACTGACCTCCAGCACATATCAGTGGGAGGCACAGCAGCACCTTGCTGTCCCTTGTTCACTCTTTTTGGGGCGCCATTACTGATGTTTTAGCATCATGCTCCACTCACTCATTCCTTTTCCCATTCTTCAGCCTTGACTGGCTGTGGTTCATCTGAAGAAGATGATGGTGACAATGATAAAGTGAACATTCAGAGAGAGAAGGCAGAAATGCTCAGGCTGATTTCCACTGTGTCTCCTGGGTGAAGCAGCTGAGATCTTTCGGGACAGTCATCATTCCCAAAAAGCCATCACCTTCTCCAATTGGTGCCTGATTGGTCCCACTTCCACTGTTCATCCTCTGTGCCATATACACCATCCCCGTATATTCAGTTGTGTGTTGTTGCTCAAATGCCTTTATGCATCCCTCTCTCCATTGCATTAGTCTTAGGAGGGAAATTTGCTTTGCTGCCCATCAGATGTGGCTGTAACACTTAGCAGGAGTACGTCCTCAACAGATAGAGGAGCATGGCTGTAGTTCTCTATGCATAGGTAAAAGTGACTAATGGATCAGGCACAAACAGAAATTTGATTTTTTGGGGGTTTCTAAACCTTCTTTCATGTAGTCACAATTAATGGAGATTTATCTAACCTTCGTTACCACAATTAATGGAGATTTATCTAACCTTCGTTACCATCTCAAATAGTAATGTTTTAGTAAACAGCATTAAACTGTAGAGGAGGAAATAACTCTTAAGTTTCTGCTAAGGGACTCTTCATTAAACATGTCATTATACAAAAAATAACTGCATCTATATAACGTCTACCTAAAATGAATAGACTAGCCCTCGAAGTCCAAAAGGCAAAGTCTATCCCTTGCTATGAAAGTCCAAACTATCCTTTTCATTTGTGTGAGACATGGTAATCCCTGAGTTGACTCATGTAGTAAAGCAGAGATGTGAAACTCTTATACGTTTAACATTTTATCAGTGAAATCCCTGAAACAGCCTGTTGTTATAGTTACACAATAGGATAGGTTTGTTAACTGCAGTCTGTAATTCTCAAAAACTCTGAGCCTTTGCTTGCTCTCAGAGCCACGCGCTTTCCTGAGGACCATTGTGCGTCGCTGTTTCGTGATGAGCTGCTACACTGAATCACTGCTTGTTGCACAGAACTTGCAAACTCATAAAGCCTCTTCTTGTGAGGAGATACAGCAGCATCCCCTCTCTTTCTGTTTTCTCCTCAATTCCTTTGTGCAGACTGCTCAAGGGTTGCTGGTTCTTCAAACATTTATAGCATAATGCTCTTCTTCAAATTTTAAAAAAACTCTCTTCAGCATGTCCACTGGACTTCTGTAATGGAGAACAGGCCAGGTGACCATGCCATCTTTCTGGCAGTCCTGGTGGGTGAGACAGAACAGCATGACTTCTCAAGAGTTTTGTCTTTGTTTACACTGCTGGAAGGAATAAAGTCTTCTGCGATGAACTACCCCTCGCTGCGATGGGGAGGAGGTAGCGAGCCTGACCCATGGCTGAGCCTGCTGGGAAAAGCACCAGCACCCAGGGAGTTCCTGGCAGCAATTCTCCGCAGCACAACATTAGTTGGCTTCATTGCGACACAGCCTAGTTCCTTACTGGTTACTACAGGTGACATCTGTTTTCTCCCTGATTTATGCAGAAGAATCAATAATAAAGCTGTTTCTCTGACGCTGCTGTTACCAATGTAATATGGAGCGTGATGAGCCTCCGATAAGGATCAGCTGAGGATCTCAGCTGCTGTTCATAAAATTGTGTCTCCATCCGCAGAGGTAATGTGCTTGAACATTACATAAGGAAGAGCCTACAAGAAGTGTATGTTCAATTCCCTGTGCAGTATGTATGAATATTAAATATCTGTGTGATTGGCTGCCTTAAACACCCCATCAATATTTATAACTGGTCGGGGGGACAGTGGGAATTCTTCAGTATAATTATTTCAAGTCTCATTTCTGTAATACTGCAGTCTTTGCATCTCTTTGCATTCTGGAGGACTAAAGATAGATGGCACAAAAAAATGGAAGCGGTTCCGTCTTTCGCCTCAGGATTGCAAGTTTATATAATTTAAAGGGAAGATTCGTC